AACGAGAACCGGTCCATCTGGACCTGATGCTAACGATAACCGGTCCATCTGGACCTGATGCTAACGAGAGCCGGTCCAGATGGACCTCATGCTAACGAGAGCCGGTCCATCTTGACATGATGCTAACGAGAGCCGGTCCATCTTGACATGATCCTAACGATAGCCGGTCCAGAGGGACCTGATGCTAACGATAGCCAGTCCATCTGGACCTGATGCTAACAAGAGCCGGTCCAGATGGACCTGATGCTAACGATAGCCGGCCAGATGGACCTGATGCTAACGAGAGGGACCTAATGCTAACGATAGCCGGTACAGATGGACCTGATGCTAATGATAGCCGGTCCAAATGGACCTGATGCTAACCAGAGCCGGTCCATCTGGACCTGATGCTAACGAGAGCCTGTCCAGATGGACTTGATGCTAACGATAGCCGGTCCAGATGGACCTGATGCTAACGATAGCCGGTCCAGATGGACCTGATGCTAACGAGAGCTGGTCCATCTGGACCTGATGCTAACGAGAGGGACCTGATGCTAACGAGAGCCGGTCCAGATGGACCTGATGCTAACGAGAGCCGGTCCAGATGGACCTGATGCTAACGAGAGCCGGTCCAGATGGACCTGATGCTAACCAGAGCTGGTCCATCTGGACTTGATGCTACTTTGGGCCTAATGCTGTTCTGGACCTGGAGAACCGGGTCGCTCTAACAGGCTTTCCTGTTGCAGGCTTTGGAGATGCTCCCTGACGGCCGTCAGCTGTTCTCTGCTGGCCTCTGTTCTGAGGTCCGGCCCGGCCCGGCTGGAGAACCTGGACCTGAGCGGGAACCAGCTGGGGGACTCAGGAGTGAAGGAGCTGTGCAGCTTCCTGGAGGATCCCAGCTGCAGGCTGCACACTCTGTGGTCAGTTCCCGTCTGCCTGGTGACACCAGAACACACTGGAGAGGAAAACCCAGATCTGGGTTCTGGCTTCTGGGTTCTGGGCCGGCTCAGGCGGGCCAACAGCAGGATTTACTCACAGTGCTGTTTCCAGGGCGGTTCTGAAGGTCCGCTTTGCCCAGCAGGC